GTGTATATCTTTCCTTCTCACTTACTCTGTTGCTGGTTGTGTAGCTGGGTGGCTGGCCCCTTGAGTCCTCCTCCTTCTCTCGCTCCTAGATTCTCTTGCTTCAGAATCTTCTCCTTCCAGATTTCTTCTTCTATTCATTCTCTCTGCTTGCCAACCCCATCTATCCTTTCTCCTGCCTCACTATGTTGCTGTTAGACAGGCAAAGAATCACAACTTCACAGAGTTAAACAAATGTAACATAAAAGAATGCTACATATCTTTGCATTATTAAAACAAATGTTCCCACAGCATAAACAAATGTGGCATATCTTGAAATAATATTCCATAACAGATGAGGAAGCAGAGATAGGTGGGTCCCTGAGGCTTGCTGATCAGTCAGCAGGTGAATTTCAGGCTAGTAAGAGACCCTGCCTCAAAAAAAAAAAAGTGGCACCCAAAGAATAACATCATCATTGTCTTCTGATCTCCACATACTTTCCTTGGCACACACACACAGACACACACACACACACACACACACATACACACAGACACAGACACACACACCCCCCGAGTGGTCTTCCTGAATTCGAGATGGCTAGTGTCACATGACTGGCTTTCATCAATAGAATAAGGTAAAGATAATGTTCTAGCATCCCCTGAAGAAGTCTTATTGCTTGTATCCTCTTCCTTTTGAAGGTCATCACTTAAGGAAGCCAGAGCTTATTTACTGGAGAAGGCAGATTGAGGAGAACCAATATTCAGACCACAGTAGCAGCCACTTTTCAGATGTGTAGGGAAGACTACAGAGGAACAGTTGGCTTACTGACTACAGACACAGAGTGAGCCCACACAAAACCATGCAATAAAGCAAAGAGCTGTCCCAAGGTAAATCCGTAAACTGCGGAGGCAGCAAACAAATGGATGGTGTTATTTAAGTCACTGTGCTTTTCGTTAGCTTGCTAAGCAGCAGAAATCTGATATCAGGGTCACAGTATAGAAATGAGCTCTAATGACCGAGGCTAGAAGGCTGTGATCTCCCTCACTTTCCACATTGGTGCAATGGGATAGTTTTCATTCTACCTTGTCTTATTATATGATGATTAAATGTGAAAAAGAGCATTCTGCATACAATGTGAGGCAAGCAATTTCGACTTCTTTTTAAAAATACGTATGAGTGTTTTACTTGCATGTATGTTTATGTGCCACAGAGGACATAGGGTCTCCTGGAACTGGAATAATAGATGGTTGTGAGACACCATGTGGGCACTGGAAATTGGATTCAGGCCCTTTGAAGGAACAAGTACTCTTAATCCCTAAGTCACATCTCCAGCCCCTCATTTTTTTCTTCTTATGTGTTTGTGTGTGGATGCCTATGCATGTGTGCTTATGCTTGTTTATAGAGGTCGTAGGTCAACCTCAGGCATTGCTTGTCAGGCAGCACCTTGGTTTTGGGACGGTGTTTTACTTGGCCTGGTATTCACCATTTAGGTTAGGCTGGCTGGTCTTTAGGCCTCAGGGCTCCTTTGCCTGCTCAGTGCTGGCAATACAAGTCTGTGTTACCACATCTTTTGGACTTTTTCCCTCTCTTGGTTCTTGGGATTAAACTCAGATCCTCATATTTGGGAGGTATGTGCCTTCCCTACTCTGCTAGGTCTGCAGCCCTCTTTCCCCTCCTTTCATGGTTCTTTCCAGGCGTTGCTATGACAATTGCCAATTGTCAAGGCACTGGAGAGTGTACCAGTTAGTATGCAGATGAGATCGTAATGAAGTTGGAGGTAGTCTGGCAGTAACCCTGGCAGCCCTGTTAGATCCAATAATTTCAACCAGTCTACCTGAGGAGAATCTTCTGGCTTCTGGCATCCTTGTTCTCAGAGGTAAACAGGATCCAGCAAGCAGAAATCCTGGTAAGGGGGTCTGGTGGGATGGCTCAGCCAGTCAAAGCACTGCTGCCAAGCCTGGCAACCTGGGTTTCATCCCCAGACCCTATACAGAGGAGGGGAAAAGCAGACTCCTCCAAATTGTTCTCAATCCCCACATTCATACATACACACACACACATACACACACACACAAATGCGCACACACACATGCTGTTTTTGTTTGTTTTTTGTTTTTGTTTTTTGAGACAAGGTTTCTCTGTGTAACAGTCCTAGCTGCCTTGGAACTAGTTCTTGTAGGCCACACTGGCCTCGAACTCACAGAGATCCACCTGCCTCTGCTTCCCAAGTGCTGAGATTAAAGGCATGAGCCACTATCACCAGCTAAATTTTTTTAAAAAAAAGGAAAGAGAAAAGAAAAAAAGCAATCCTGATGGTTGAGCCTGTAGTGGGTTCAGGCTCAGATCTAAGCACTTGGAAGGTTAAGGCATAAGAATTGTCAAGGGTTTGATCCAGCCTGGGCTAAAAGTATGATAAGATGATTTTGAAAAAAGCGGGGGGGGGGGGGGGGGG